GTGACTAAATATGGTCCAACACCATCAGCATTGCTCAACCAAAAATGCCTCTGCTCAGATTGTTTCCCTGCAGTCCTCAGCAGGTAAATTTAGCTGTCGCTGGTATGTAAAGGTAACAGGTGACTGTAATTCAAAAGAAGAATGTTAAATGTTGTTTTCTTTTATTATTTGCAGTAAATATTAACAAACAAATTGATCTTCCATTAACGTGTCTGTGTCCAGTATTTAAATAACTGCAGTGGATCCCGCCACAACACACACACACACTTGCTGCAGCTAGCAGGGGGGCTTCTAATTGAAATATGTCAATAATGAGCCAATTTTAAAGGTACTGTGTAAGAAATGTCCCTTTTCTCTTTAAATGTATAGAATTTGGAGATTTTTTATTTTTTTTAGATAAAGTTACTTTAATATATACAAGGAAAATAGATTTACTGTTTATAGCATAATTTAAAGCTACATAACCACTGCTTTGATAAAATTCCTCAGGTATTATGGTTCACCAATAGAATATGTAATGAATATTTTTCTTTGGCATTTAGGAGTAAAACGTAAAATTTTTGTGGCATAAACTAACAATCTTCCATTAATGCAGATACCTCTGGTGACATCACAAAAGACATTGGGAAACTTAGCAGAGTTGATTTTATTTAATTAATTTATATAATATAATTTTTTTGTTAATTGTAACACATTTCTTCCTTAAAAGGGGTTTATTTTTCATTTTCTCTGTATTACTCAACAACGTTGTCTGATCAGCAGGTGATGTAATTATCCCTAATACACTCAAAGCAAAGTTGGCTGGGTGCTTCTCTGGACTACTACTTAAAAACTTTGTCATTGGTGAAAAATACAGACTTCTTTATGCAGGAGTACTTTTATTCTCAGTTTGCATTTGTTAGATTAATGAAAAAACAACACTGGATTTTTTAAAGTTCTTACTTTATTTAAGCCTGCTGTTTGTATCACCTATGTCCTTAAGTCAAATTCCATGCGAAATGAAAAAAAATTTTTTTTTCCAGGTTGATAGATAACCAATAAACTAACATCTCTCTCCCAATTCTAAACAAAAGGTTGAATTCCTAGAAAAAAAATAAACAAGTCAAAGAAAACTCCATGCAATAAATTTTCTGCTAAATGTAATTTAAAGTGGAATTAGGGCCCCCAATCCAATTCTGATCAGGCACCCTGACAATCTATGGCTGGTTCTGCAACAAATCATGAAAAAAAAAAAAATTAAAAATTAGCATAAAAAAAAAAACTACTAGAAAAAAAAAGTTTCAGAAGAAAGAGCAGAGTGTTCTAAAGAAGAAAGTTTCCCCAAACAGTCTCCCTCCCTCCCTTTTCCAGTTATGAGACAGAAGAAAAAGTGTCTGGCCAGCTCCTTAAATTAACTAGTAAAGCTGGAGAAAGTACAAAAAAGCAGAGGGAAACATTGGGAGTAAAAAAGAAGAATTAGATTCATAGAAGTGAGATCATCCAAGTGGAGTAAAAATTAGGAAGATTTCAAAGCTTAAAGAAAATTTGTATTTTGAAGTGCACTTTTGAATCACCAAGTCATTGATGAGGTTTCAAATTAGTGATAAAAAAAAAAAAAGACAAAACCTACATACCACGTATTTCACATACAACCCATTTTCAATCATAGTGTTAAAGTTCCATTTCCTTATCCTTCATGTCCATAGATGGCTGTCCATTGGAGCGATAATATGTTTATGGATATGTTTGACCCTCTTGGAATGCAATCGCATTCTAATTTGAGCCTGGAGGAAAACATCATTTCTTTTCTTTGCTGCATGCAAAATATGAGCGGAGTCAATACTAATAAAGCCTTCCTCTTTGCTGACAATTCCATAAAACAGAGAAGAAAATGTAACGTGTGGAAGGAGGAACATAAGATTTAATGATCATGTGTGAATGTATAACCTTATAGGCCAATATGTTTTTTTTTTATTTTCCTGAGATTAAACATAGATTTGACTTCAGTAGAATTTGACACTTAAAAATGTATGTTGATCATCAATTCAAACGTTCCAGTTTTATCATGAAAACAAAATAAATCTACATTATGGAAGAAAAATAGTACATAAAATACCAACTAATAAATATATTTTTTTCTTTCCTTACATCTATATTGCTCTGCATCTATAGTAAAAGTACCACTGGAGGTATTTGGGCTGCTTGTTATGGTAATTAGAGGGAATTATGTCTTTTATCATTTACAAGGTAAATCCAGTTTTAACTAATAAAGGTTTAACTAATAAGAAGCATATTCTAAAATGGGAAGGTACATAACGTTCTTAGATTCTACAGAGGAACCATTAAAAATCTGCATTTCCATTTGAGCAGCTGGCTGCAAAGTCCCCGACAGTAAAGCCCTCCAAAGAGCGGTGTGAACAGCGAGGAGCAGATTATTGAGACTTATGTCTACGGTTCAGGAGATTCCAGAGAATCGCTGTGTGACCAAAGAGCTGAGAATCTCTCTGTATCCATTACAGCCACAAAAAACATAGTTTAGCCTGCTGCGTTCTGGAATAAGGTTCTATAACATCTGGTGCAGAAACTAATGTTGTGCTGATGCCTTTTTTTGGCCCCAATACCGATACCTGGCTGTGCAGTATTGGTCGATACCGATTACAATACCGATACCATCTGTATGAAATTTATGTGTGTTTGTATATATGAAGAACTGCATATTACTAGGATGTAAAATAATTGCCATCATGGCTTTATCAAGCTGCTGCCTACCTTTTTGAAGCAGGAAAAAGACTAATACAAAGTGAATCCAGTAGAACTTTTTATTGCCTACCCAGAATGGGTGACAATAGATGAATAAACCTTTGGCTCTCAAAATGGTATCGGTGCCCTATTTGTTCGTACTCGCCGATACCACCATTTTAGTGCAGCATCGGGCCCCCGCCCGATACCGGTATCGGTGCAGCACCAGGAGAAACCACCCGGTTCTTCAGCGGTCTCATCTCCCAAGCAGCCAGACTGAACTCTGTAACCTCGGACTCTGCAACCCTCCACAACAAATCATAAAGGACAACGTTTTGAGCAGTGAGTAGTAAATATCCAACTCATCTGTGGGATCCATAAACAGTGCAAAATATGGACCTACTGTAAGTCGGCTTCTCTATGTTATTTTTGTAAATTTCATCACCAAGTGCAATATATAAACGAAACTGTAAATATTAACAATATAATGTTTCATTTTCCCACATAATTTATATTTTTCCACACTTCATAACCTCGTGTTTATTTTTTCACTCAGTAAGAACTATAGTTATATTGTGTTTCTTTTTAGTTTATTTTTTTCTTTTTAGACTCTTGAATTAAACTGTCATTGATTCAGTGGGATGAAATTTTGTTGTGGTGAAAAACTTAATGAAAACAAAAGTCGAAATTTTCCTTGTGATTATATCTCAGCGAGTGGTGGAAAGTAACAAAGTATATTTACTTGATTACTGCCATTTTTTGGGGGTACTTCTAACTTATCAAAAATATAGTACTTTCTACTCTCCTACTGGAGGAAGCTGCTAGTTACTGCTTCCTTTAGGCTCAGCCTAGCTTTTTAATCCACCATTGCCGTTTTTCTTTCTGAAATGCAATTTCAACGTCTAAGACAGCAGCCCTTGGGCATCTATCTTAGAATTTGGACGCCACTGTCTTAGACATTTGCATCATAATAAAGAAACTCAGGGAAGATATTATTTGTAGTTCAAACATTATATTAAGGTGTTACTTGTTGACATGTTGTTCAGTAGGATGAGTTCTCCAATCAGTTGTAGTTTCTTTGTGGAAATAGATTCAACCTTAACCTCTATTCCATAGTAAAAATGTGAGGAGAATCAAAACACTCCTGTTTTCTTTTTGGTTTGTTTTAAAATGAAAAATTATAGCCGCCATAGCCGCCCATTTTTTGTGGCATTTTTGTGCTGACATTCTTTCCAGGTGGTGTAGTATCTGTAGCAGGTGATCATATGCATCAATACATCAGGTGGTTTTCCGAAAGTAACATGGTACTTTAAAATGCTCTGAAAATTATACAGAAATGTACAGTTCTTAGAAAACCTTATTTGTATTTTTGAATACTTACGTGCTTTTAAATGCATGTACTTTTGAATACTTAGGTATTTTAAGTGAATACTTCAATTCTTTAACTTGAGTAGATGGTTCACAGAGTCACTTTTACTAGTAGTCCAATAGGATTTGACTATTAGTATAAATACTTTTACTCAAGTACTACTGTTGAGTACTTCATCTACCATTGGCCTCAGGTTCTATTTCAGTTTCTACCCTTTTCTGCAACTTTAAAGGTGTGATTGCCTGAGTTCTTAAAAACTATCAGCTGCCCATATAAGACTTCTGCAGTCTACTGTGTATGATCTTGTTTAGGATTGTTATTTAAAACCAAACAAAGTGAGTATTTTTTATGTTCTCTTCAAACAATGTGAGTAAAATAGGAATATCAACTTTTTTATGTGCATAAAAGTTCTTTTTAAGACTATAGTTTTATAGGTTATGTATCACTTAAGGTAAAAACTTCAATTACTTTTGAACTCAGGTGCTTTAAAGAAACTGCATTTTTTACTATTACTTCAGTGAGGAATTAAATTGGTGCTTTTACTTTTGGCAGATTTTTGTTACTAAAGTAAAGAATGTGAGTTTTGACCCCTCTGTCTCCTAGCAAAGCAAGTTAACTCCAGCAGGGATGTCATGCATGACACGTGTCCTGAGACAGATCACCACTGCATCAGGTTATCCTGATGAAAAGACAGTCCTTTTCTTTTTGCACTTTCTGCTGTGGTATCGCCACCATGTGGCAATGAGGTATTAAAACAGCATTCTCTGAATATAAATCAGCATGTATTAAAAAAAAAAAAAAAAAATGTATTAAAAAAAAAAAAAAAACGACTATTAGTTATTCAGAACAAACAGTTGAATTAAACTGACATTAAACAGAAGTTATCAAAGAGTCTAATCACCATTTATATCAAAATCAAACACAACTTTTATTGATCTGAAGTTTATATGCTAAATAAATCTTTAGAAAAAAAAATGCATTTTTACAATTTACAAATGCTGTACGAAAACATTTACTTTTCCTGGGTTTGGAAATTTCATTCTACAATCCTAAAATACAAAGTGAAAAAAGAGGCTGTTTATGTTCAGTGAAGTAGTGCAGAGTTCCTTAGAGAGCCAAAGCCTCCTTTTTAGTCCATGAGCACTACAGGTCATCAGGTTCTGCGTGTTGAAATGTTTCATGAATCATTTCCAGGAGCTGAGACACTCATAGCAGCACCTCGCAGCAAAACGTTCCCTCTGTCATCACTGCTGCTCAGGAAGTGGGAAACCAGTCCATAGAGCAGAGGTCTGCAAAAAAAACAACAACAACAAAAACAAAACAACAACCATTATTCCACTTTTCTATTATTTATCTATTATATTAGTTGCACATACTGCCAAACTATGATAGGAATTCTAAGATTTGAAAGCTGTTAGGAAAGTCAGTGATAGCGTTTCTACTATGAAGTTCCTTTTTAACCAGTTTTCCATAAAGACAGTTTCTATAAACTGCCATCCATTTGGCTGAAAAAAAAAGAGGTTTTAAAACTTTGTCTGTTAAAAAGAAAATAACTTTTTATTGAAATACAACAATAAAAAAAACAATAAAAATAATTAAGTTACATTACTTTAGAAGAAATAATCATAACCCTCCTGCTTCTCTATTCCAGCCATTTTATTTCCACTCCACTTTCTTTACTTTTCTGTTTTAGCTGCGTATCTGCAGATGTCATGGTATTTGCTGAGGGTCTGGATTTGTTTCTTAACTTAATAAGTTCTTTAGCTAGCGGTATCTCGATCTTAATATTGATATTAATATTGAATATCAGTATTAGCCTAAAATCTAATAGATAATTATATCAGCCTGCATCTAAAAAGTTGTTCTCACATCTATTGTTGTTAATTTTCTTCCTCTATTTTGGTAATATCACTTGATCAAACATTTTTTAAAATTCTATACTACAAAAATAAGTACTAAAAGCATGCATGATTCATACTAATATCATTGTCAATATTGGTAAATACCCAAAGCTGTAATATCGGTATCATATTGGAAATGAAAAAGTTGTATTAGGACACCCTTATCTTTAGCTATCATACTCAATAGGGATCCAGTTGTAAAACTGGACTCCAGCATTGACAATTTTAGCAAACTAGAACAAAATAAAAGAATGGACAGAAACTATGGCTGTGTCTGATCATCCGCCCTATATAGGGCACTATATTGTGGTTATGCCATTTTGGATGAGTGTCCGAACATCTAGTGGATGAAAAAGTAGTGGAGTCAGAATTTCCCACAATGCACTGAAACATAGTAATCCTCTATGGTAAACAAAGCCAGATGGGTAAACAAAAGTTATTAGATGCCCTGATGCATTACATCCAATTTAAAACGTTAGTCCAACAGTTTAACAGTGTGGTGTTTTATTTCAATGTTATTCAGCCAAGTTTTCAACATACTGTGGGGAGATTATTCAAATAAAGACTAAACTCTTACACAGACTTGGAGCTTGCATCCTCTGAGACTCTCAGCTCAGTGGCCAGAAACTGCCTGTCTAAGGGAGTTTCAGGTTGGCCCGATTCTGTGAAAGCAAACATTGCAGAGAAGGGAACAACGCTGTGAAATAAGAGCAAATAACATTGACAGAAGCTTTTCCTTACATAAAAAAGCTGAAGATGTTCAAAAAATATATCTACTGAGTTAGCAAATAGTGTTTGATCATGATACACTACACTTAAATAAAGAAAAAGCAACACGGTAAAATCTTTAATCTGACAACATCACAATGAGGGACTTACCTGCTGTAAGCACTGATGCTGTGTTTCTGTATTTGTTAAAAAGCAGGTACTCCCGGATGAGCTCGTTTATGAGCAGGTTTTCATGGGACAGAGATGGAGGTGCGTCTCGCTGCTCATCTAGGGCGCTGAACACCTCCGCTCTGATTCGAGCCTTTAGCTGAGTCAGAACCCCTCGGGACTCAAGTGTTTCCCTCACAGCTGAAACATGTAGAGGATTTGTCTTAACAATGCAACAAATATTCCTTTTCTGTTCAAATGCCAACTGCTAATACTGTATATAACCCCAAAACTGTGTACACTAATATTTAGTCATAGTACAATAACCTTGGTAAACTTGTGAAAATTCCATTCAATTCAAACCAAAGGAGCAATATTGAAAATGTAAAAATAAAAAAAGTGTCTATTATTTACCAATACCTTAATCCCAAAATGTTGATGATAAGCCAAGCATAAATTATCCCGAGCTCCAATTTCACTTTCCTGATCACTTCAGAACTTTTGCTTCTTTCACAACCCCAATATGCAGCTGTATGTTCTCCACCACAGTTACGGCATTTAATTTGAACTTCTTTACCACACCTTTCCATATACGTGCAACACACCTTCCACGTCATTGTTTTCCCTATATGACCACATTTTTGGCATTTGAAGCATCTCATATGTGGAGGATTGTACATTTTCACCTTTGTAGCTCCTATATCCAAGGAAAACCTTACTTGCTGTCTCCTGTTCTTCAAATTTGATCAATACTGTTATACTGTGTATAACCCTTTATAGTGCACTGAGTGAAATACTTTGAAAATCAAAATTTCCAGCCAATAGTGTTATTAGAATCCAGGACCAGACCTTATTACCTTTGTTACATTCAAAAAATATGGATATTTTGATGACAAAAATGAATGTCAATGTTATAACAGGAAACGCATACTTGCCCCAATATATTAAGAAAAATAACAAAAGTTCTTCTATAAGAAATTCATGAAAAACACTCTGAGAGTGAAAGTAACACATTTTTTTGGGGGGTCCAACATAACATTAGAGGCATTAATGCTGATACTGGCACTTACATTTTTTTAGTTTATAAACCTAAATATAATAGCTAACTTGGCTTATTAATTTTTTTACTTTACTTTTTAACTTTTCAATTAGCCTTTTACCTTTTTTTTTTCTCTTGAATTGTTAACTTTTGGTATTTAACTTAATTTCCAGTAAGTAATATATCATTCAAGGGCTCATCTAATTGGTCAAATGCCAAAATAAGATGTACAGCCATATGGCAGTAACTTTGCTGAATGGCTGGATATAGATCCATTAGTTATTATCAAAGGGTTAACCGTTTCACTTCTTTTACTTTTGCACCACTTATATTTTCTAGAATCTCTTGGTCAGTTAGTTTTAGAGGAACTCCTCCAATGACTCCTCTGCTAATCCTTTTTTTCTCCACCAAGCTGCACTGAAAACTTTTCCCCTCAGTCTTGTTAATCCATATAGCTTTGCCTTGTTGAGTCTCCACTATACAATATTTTGGCACCTTTGACTTCTAAAAGTTTGATTTTTGTTTTCGATAACTGCACCAGATTCCAATCAGCAAAGATCCTTCCTGATTAACTAGTTTATGACTTTGTAATAATTTTTTTTTTTCTGTGGAATTTCTAGATTGTTCATCACTTGATATTGTTCAGCTTTTTCCGCTATTTGTAATTTTTTGACTCTACTCTCTTCCAATCTTCTTCGTTTTCACTATTTTCTTCTTCCATTCAACAAGAATCAATTCCTGTTTCCTCACTACTCAGGATCCAGGACATTTCTCAAAGCCACCTAGAAACACGCGTCCTGTTACTCCTCTCAACATTTTAGGTCTGAAGTTAAAGAAATTATACTGAAAGAGCACTTACACTTTTTCAACTCAGAGATGGTCCCCATTGTAACGAATGTAAACAAAATTCTTCTTC